TATGCATGGGTCCTTATTCACACAAGTGAGGCTGGCTACCAGCCTTGACACAGCACTAGTCATTGGGCCAAATGACTGGTTAAAAACACATGTAAATTGCTTTTTAGTAGTGAATACTGTGTAAGATAAAGCCAAAAATGCAAATTAGGCTTTGGTTGGCTCTTCTGGAAAATATGCATCAAATTCGGGGTATAATCTGGATGGCTGCTTCTGTGCTCAATGTGAAGTATTTAGATACTTTGGAACACTTACCAGTTTCTCTGAAACAATGACTTAATGAGGATTGGTCCTGTTTGTCATTCCTCACAATAATGTGCATTGTCATCACTAATCCTTGGATCTTGCTGTATTGTCACCTAAATTGGTATAGGTACTGATGAAAATCTCTAATGGATGGATAATCATAACACTTTTGGTCACATGTTTTTCTCCTGCAGCCTGAAAGTTCTTAAAAGAAAAAGATATCAAATGCCTGCTGCTACCACCCTTTTAAATTGCTATCTTTTGAAAAGCACCAGTATGTGTTTTAGATTGATTTCCCTGTTTTAGGGAAATGACAGACAGTTTCAGTTCTGATGGTATAAGCAAAACAAATAAAACATGTTTCTAAAAGTTGTATCTTGAAACACTGGTGTTCAACAGCTAGCAGCTAACATGATTCACCCCATACATTGTTAATGTCACAGACTTTGTGGTTATGTCTAGCAGCTGTGTCTGGAGTATTTTCATTTATCGTTTGTCTAATTTAACCCTAAATGAATTCTCCTTTTCTCATGGAGACATTTACGTTCACCATGCTTCTTTGCCTTAGATGCCTAGGGAGAGCATACAGTTTGATGAAGATGGAAAGTTTAGCAATGACTTAGCCATATGTTCTGTGTTGGAATTTGTGCTAGCAGTTTGAGCACTAGTTCTGTGTGCCTATGAAGTTAATGCTTCTTGTTGTCCCATTCCATTTTACTTCATGGAGAATTAATTCCATTTGTTAACAAAGGCTTCTAAGTTAATGTTATTTTCTGTACAGAAATTAAAATTTACTTCTAGCCTTTAGGAAACTTTTTTTCCCAGTAGGTAAATCAGCTACTCAAAAACAAAACAGTTATTCTCAGATACTCATCATTAGGCAACTGGATTTTTTGCTGGTTTTATAGCTTACTAAAAATGGTTAGGCTGTTGAACATTCCACATTCAAAATTTTTGTAGGGTGGTGGATAGTGGGAAAGCTTCAATGTTTATTTTAAAATAAATAAAGTTCTCGACTTTCCTCGTGTGTGGTTGTGGTACATCATATTGGAAGGGTTATCTGTTTACTTTTGCCAGCACGTACCCTTGTGTGCTTTAAATGACAACTGCCTGGGATGTACCACAACCATATATTAGCTGTATTTTAGTGTAATGGATAGAATATTTGTGGTTTATTGGATAATCCTTTGGTGTGTGCTTTTGAAGTACTATAGAGAATTAAATTTACTATATGTATAAAATATAATTTCATGATGTTTAGAAATCAAAATTGAAGTAAATAAGCTCTTCAGTATTTGAGTTCTGAGGTGAATGTGGAGAAGTTCTACACGTCAAGCTTCTATAGATAGTAGGGCAGAATGTGCAAAAGGTGTTCATAGTATTTTGTAAGAGTTGCTTATTTTCCAAGAGCAGCATATGATTAGGTGTTATTCTACCATTACAGTTTTAGTGCATAAAGTTTAATCTCAATTCAGACTTTTTAAAAGAAGAAATGCCTCACTGGACAGAGAACTATTTGTTCCGTTAGGATCTTGTTGCTCGGGATCTTGTGTAGTATGCAAATGGCTGTTCATGATGCAGAAGACCTTTTATTTGGTCAAATGTGTATTTTAGCAGAGTACAGGGAACTGATTGTCCTATGTGTGTCTCAGTGTACTAAGACAAATATTTTGTACATGCACAATTACTAGTTATGTATATATACCACACGTATAATGAATTCCCCCCCCCAAAAAAAAAAAAATTGCTTTCTTAAAGGTAGCATGTCATTTGTTACTTTTTTCTTGGGGCCATTTTATTACCAGGCCCTAAATAATCCTAAAAAAGAGGGTTTTTCTTCCTCTCATTTTGATCATTGTATCTTCATATTAAAACACATGACCTTCCAATGATTGTAGTAAGTTAACTTCTATAGTTCTTTTGTCTCCATATGTATATATACATATATATGGCCTCATACAATGCTATTGTATAGAGACTTCAAGGAGACATGAGATTGTATGCTATTCTCAGGTTCATTCACTAAGGTGCTTAGTTGACAACCAGTTTCTAAGTGCAGGATATAGTTGAGCAGCTTCATATGTGGGCCAGGCAATTGTTTTGTTGGTTATATTTTCACTGGTACATCAAATAATGGAACACGGGGTTTAGATTAGGATGATTTCATACCTTCATTTCAGCCTTAAGCTCTGAATCTATCCCACTTGAGTTAGCAAGTGCTCTTAGTTTTATTGTGTGTAAGTTACACTTCCATCAGTACTGTACCTGAGCTTGCCCCCTTTATAGAGTTAGTGGAGTAGAAGTCTCACAGAAAAATCAAAGTAAATCAAGCTTTTCCATTAGTATTTGGAAATTATAGAGGATTTAAAATTTGCATTAGATTAAATTAAATGAAAACTTGATTGCTCAGAGCCCTGGAGCAAAGCCTTTGAGTTGCATACACCCTAAAGAAAACTCCTTAAGTGCTCCTTGTGAGAGAAGTAAACTCTGGCACTGGTCTTAAGAAAAAGGCTGGAGCACTCAAGTCTTGATACTAGAAGTACTGTTGTGAATAAGCTGTTCTGAGTCTTAACCAGTTTGCTCCAGAAGTCTTGGTTCTTCACTACTGGCATTGAAAGTGGCAGTTTCTCTGTTGTACTTAAAGTTATGTTTTGGTATATTTATTTGTAAGTATTCTAAAGACTATTTTCTTAGGGAGACAACGTGAAATTCAACAGGTTATCTCTTGCCAGGCATTGTGGTCAGGGTTAACCATGCACTGGTGACAAAACTAACCCCTCAGGACACTGATGGAGTGGCCCAAATGTGTATAGTAAGTGGTATGATTAAACTGTGGTAATGACACCTAGGCAGTATGACCAGGAAAGACTTCATCGAAAGCAGTAACTGAAGAGAGATATGGATAAGGAATGGTAAACTGGATAAAAGAATCAGTGAGTCCCACACACCATTGACTGCTGTTTGGTGTAAGTGTTAGCAAGATTTGCCTGGGGAAACTGGAAAGGGCAGTTTTCTTCCATGTTTAGTTTTTGTCTCAACATTTGGAAGCTATTGAAGGTTTTAAAATGGGGTATGTACCTTGTTTGGGGGTTGGGATAGTGGGCCATCCAATAAAACTGCCATTTAAAAGACCTTCACTGCAGTGTTGAGAACAATAGTTTATGGGTCAGTGGATTTGAAAAGGCACATCATTTTTTGCAGCAAAAATTGAGGCATAAGATGGTAGTGGTGAAAGGATTTCAGATTCCCTGTCACCACTGAGTATCCTGTCCTGGGTATGCGAGCCTTGGTTGGTGCACATCATCTCTGATTATACTAGGTGACATGATCCATTTCCACATTAAAAAAAAAAAAAGATGTATACAGTGTTCTGCCTGTGTGTACACCCACTTGCCAGAAAAGGGCAACAGATGTCTATATAAATGGTTGTGAGTTATCTTGTGGTTGCTGGGAACTGAACTTGGGACCTTTGGGAAAGTGGCCAGTGCTCTTAACCTGAGCTGTCACTCTAGCCCCAGTTACACATTTTTGCTATCAGCCCTAGTTAGTTATTTGTCTAGAAATAAGTCCCAAGCTCCTCAAATTCAAAACTCACTAAAGTATATTAGACCAGTGAGATGACAGCCTGACCAGAGTTTTGACTCCTGGGAAATGGTCAAGAGACTATCTCCCCAAAGTTAATGTTTGGCCTCCACAGCTGTGCAGTGCCATGCCCATAATCCTCTCAATAAGCACATTTAAGTTTTTGGTTCCAAACTGATATACAGCTGTTTTCAGTCCAGCCACTTGATGGGAGTAAATTGAACTCCCTGTTTGGCTTTATACTCCAGGCCTGTAGACAAGCTTGGCCATCTAGTACAGTGGCCACCTGCCTCTGCCTTGTCCCTCTAGCTTTCTAAACCAGAGGTGTACATTATCCTGTGGCATAAAGTTAGCTCTTTGTACCCTGACATAGGTTTTGTAGTGGCGAAGGTGAGTCAGAACATAGTTTCTGGCCCAAACAGTCAGTGGCTTTTAAATTACCACTGAAATCCCATATCTGGTCCACCATTTCTCCATTAAGTTGAATGACCTCAGGGGTCATTATTTCTAAACGGGCTTTTGTGTCACCACTTCATAGGACTTCTGTTAATTGTAAAATAAAAGTACTGGTAATTTAATTTTCTTAGGCGCACTTAGAAGATTAAGTATTAAAGCTTCGACTGTTTTGGTTGCTATCAACAGAATGTTGCTTGGCAATTTAAAAGGTTGATACTAAAATTGGAAGTGCTTGAATTTTGGGAAGGAATTTTCGTTTTGGACGTCAGTGTCCAAGAACGTAGCATACACCAAGTTTACGTGTTTTGGGGTAGTTCCTTGGGGATGTTGGACTAGCCTCTACCCCTAACGTCTGAACACTTGGCAAGATAAAGGGTCTGCAAGAATCTGCGAAGTTCAGTGACCGCGGTCATGGGTACGAAATCTACAGACTCCCAAGTAGCGGCGCGGCGCGTCAAGTGAAATAAAGCAGCTATTGGCCCAGTTCCATGTCTTTAAAAGTAGGGTTCGGCGAAACAGCACCCTGCTGCCTAGTGCAACCTGGCTACAGTGGCTCTCTAACTCGTCTGCTGCACTGAACGAGTTCAGGTACTCGTGGCAAACGCCAGCTGCGCGGTGTCCGGATATCTAAATGGTTATTTCCGCCCGCCATTGCCAGGCTGTGCGTCCATATTAAAAAAAAAAAAACAACTACAGGGCTCGACTGCCGTGACGACTGGGAGCTAGTGCGCAGTCGCATTAGAAGCCTGTGTCGCGGTTGCGTCATCGCTAAGCGTCGACGCTGTGGAAGGTCCGGACGCGCTAGCGGTCTTCCTGGTCCCACCAGTACCTTCGAACGCTTGCGCACGTGCAGTCTGCCGCCTACGCGTATCCACGCGCGGCGTCGGCTCCTGGTGAGCTCAGCGGGCCGGCTTTCTCTCCCGCAAGCGCTCAAGCGGCCGGAGCATCTTGGCGCTCTCACGTGCTTCCGCTGTGCGTTTGCCTAGGGTCGGGCGGACTCGGGGCGCAGGTACTTTTCGTGGAAGGGGCTGGGTCGGATGTTGGGGTGCACGTTGGTGTTCTTTCGGTCCTGGGGTGATGGATCCAGGACGAAAAGCCCCTGTTTCGGCTTGTGCCCCGATCTTCGGACTGCCTCTCTCCGCCTGGGCGGCCCGACAGACGCACTCTCCCGGGCTCGGACACGCAGACACTCGGGGCTGGCTTCTCGAGCACTTTGTGGGATGCGTGGTTCTTTCCCACGCTCAGGGGCCTCTCTCACTGGGAGAGTGGAAAATGGTTGGGTGTCTAAACTGCTTTCCGAGAAACTTGCTCAATAGCAGTGGTAGGCTTTGAACTAACGCGGTTTAATCCCGGATGTTCTCCTAAATGCTTCAGTCTATCTATTCGTTTATACTCTATCCTGGACATTTGACAGTGCACTTTGTGATGCGTGGTACGGGTTCCTGTGTGTACAGGAATGGATACAGCAGAATGAATACAATTCATCCAGCTGGTCGTGGTGGTTTACGCCTTTAATCCCAGCACTTGAAAGGCAGAGGAAAGAGTATTTCTTTGTGTTAGAGGCTAGCTTGGTCTGCATAGTAAGACCGTCTCAAAAAACGAAGCAAAAGAGAGGGCGGAGGGGGGAAGAAGAGAGGACAAGTTCATCTTATTTCCAGCAATGCCTTCCTTATCTTTTAGGTTTTTCTTGGCAACACTAATCTTAGCCTATTATCAGATTCCTTACTCCAACTATTACTTTTACATCTAGTTTTGTCAGTGTGTAGTACTACCTCATTTATTAGAATTAAAGCTTGTAGTCAAGGGCCTTGCCTAGTAATTCTAGGATTCATCTACTGTAACAAAATGCTAGACTCTAACAATGAGGTACCCATTAATTTTTGTGGGCCTTTGTATGGCTGGCAACATAAAGCTTACAAACTGAACTGCTATGCAAAGGAATGGGCTCAGTCTTCAGAGTTGGATTGATCAGCGTCTGAGGCCGGTTGGTTACTTTACTGCCTTGGGATACTTGATTTCTTTAATCCTGCTTTCCCCTTTTAAACACTGGCCCTTTATTGTGATAGTGTTTTATATTAAGACCTGCTAAAGCCCATGTTTAGGGAAGGAGATGGTGTTTAGAATGCAGCAGGTGCTGGACTTTTTAAAAATCATGTCACTTCTGATATTGTGGGAATGCAATTGCTATTTCTTTGGTGTTTTATAGGTAATAAGATAGCTTTTGCATTTTTTTTTTTTTTAATTTGGATGGTGCTGGAGAAATTGAGTCTAGTGCCCCACTTTGTCCCCCCATAGGTAAATTTTGTGCTACTCTACACACTCACATAGCCCATATGACACTTTTTGAAGTATCAAGGCCTTCTCACCCAAGGAAACACAATGTATCAGAAATAGGTATATAGAAAAAGAGAAAGTCGTTGTCGTCGTCGTCGTTGTTGTCTTCTTCTTCTTCTTCTTCTTCTTCTTTCTTCTTCTTTCTTCTTTCCTCCTCCTCTTCCTTCTTCTTCTTTCTTCTTCCTTCTTCTTCTTTCTTCTTTCCTCCTCCTCCTTCTTTCTTCTTCCTTCTTCCTCTTCCTCCTCTTCCTCCTCCTTCTCCTCCTCCTCCTCCTCCTCCTCCTTCTTTCTTCTTTTGGTTTTCTGAGACAGGATTTTTCTGTGTAACAGCGCTGGCTGGCGTGGACTTAATCTGTAGACTGGGCTGGCCTCGAACTCAACAAGATCCACCTGTCTCTGCCTCCTGAGTGCTGGCTTCAGAGGGGAGGGCCGCCACCACCCAGCTTATAAGTACGTGAATTTTAAATTTTTACTGTGTTTTAGGTTGTATATGTGGTGTGTTGTATGCTTGTATGCTGCACACCATGGCATGTATGTGGAGATCAGAGAACAACTGTGAGGAGTGGTTTCCACTCAGTTTTTTTTTTTTTTTTTTTGTGGAGCCCTTGCTGTCCTGGAACTCACTCTGTAGACCAGGCTGGCCTCGAACTCAGAGATCTGTCTGTGCTACCACCACCGCTAGCAGTTCTTTCCTGCTGAGCCATTTTATGACACAACGTGAATTTTAAAGAAGCCAAATAGTAACAGACAAAACATCAAAGTAAAAATCACACTATTCAGAAATTACATTTTGGGCTTTTTTGTTTTTGTTTTTTTGTCTGTTTGCTTGTTTGTCCTTCCCCCACCCCTTATGTATATGTATTAATATGGTATTTATAGGGCTGGGACAGTTACTCTGATGGTAGACAGGTTGTTTGCCCAGCATTCATGAGGCCCTAGGTTTGATTCCCAGCATAGCATAAAACCTTTTGTGCTGATGTACACCTGAATTTGAGCAGTTACCTGTAATCCTAGTTCTTGGGAAGTGGAGGCAGGAGGATCAGAAGTTTAGGGTCATCTTGGGCTATATAGTGAGTTCAAGGCCATCCTGGGATATATCAGACTCTGTTAAAAAACAAAACTCAGTAGGATAAAATGCTATATCATATGTTGTCTTTCTGGGTTTATAGAGATATCATTATATACTTTAATCCTTCTTGGGTTTATTTACTCTTTACACTTTTAACATGCTGTCCTGATTTATCTTTTCTTCCTTTCTTTCTATCCTTTTTTGAGACAGGGTCTCTCTGTGTAGTCCTGCTGTCTTGGAGCTCACTAATTAGACCAGGCTGACCCCAGGCTTACAGAAATCAGCCTGCTTCTGCCTCCTCTAGTTTTTCTTCCTTGAAGTAGAAAAAAAGTACACTTCTTTGCTGACTTCCCATGCTTAAGAACACTTCATCTGTCTAGTTTCCTGATTGTAAAACTGAGGTTGATGTCTTCCTTATAGTGTTGTTTGAAGATTAAGATTGTAATTAGGATTATAAATGTGCCCAGCATAGCCCCCACACCCCGCATAGGGCAGCCGCCTGTTGCCACTTACTCCGGTGTGGTGTTTAGTTCATCTGCATCTCCTTTATTTCTGTTTTAGTGCTAGTCTTTCACCATGCACCGGAAAAAGGTGGATAACCGAATTCGAATTCTCATTGAGAATGGCGTGGCTGAGCGGCAGAGGTCTCTTTTTGTTGTAGTTGGGGACCGAGGGAAAGATCAGGTAAGACCTGGTAAATGATTCCTTGGTTGCTTTGTGTCCTGTCCCAAAGAGTTGGCAGGTTATTTAGGCCTTTTGAGGTTTTAGCACACAGTGACATTATGGTCCGTTTGCTGGTAGAGTGCCTGGTGGGGCCATTTGGTCAGTGCCTGGAAATGGTAAATTCTGTCTATTTAGATTCACGGGCAGATGAGCCAGTACCTTTAGAACCCTGGCATGATGGATTGGCTAGGTTTAAGCTCATATGCCCTAGCTTCTAGTTCCCATCTGGCTATTAACTTGCCTTGTGATCTTGGGTGCTTTCCGTGGGTTAGTTTATATCTGTTTCAAATGAGGTCTTGGGCCTGGAAGTCTGTATGGTGTCTTTCACACGGAGATTTTGTGATTTTTTTTTCCTTACTTGGCAGGTGGTTATTCTTCATCATATGTTGTCCAAAGCAACTGTGAAAGCTCGACCCTCAGTCCTGTGGTGTTACAAGAAAGAGCTGGGGTTTAGCAGGTAAGCTTGGCCCTTGGATATGACGTCCACCTTTCTTTGCTTTCTTTTCTTTCCATTTTCTTTTCTTTCATTCATTCTTTTTTGTTTTGTTTGTTTTGTTTTTGTTTATTTGTTTCTGGAAACAGGGATTCTCTGTCCTGGCTGTCCTGGACTCACTTTGTAGACCAGGCTGGCCTTGAACTCATAGAGCTCTACCTGCCTCTGCCTCCCTTAGTGCTGGGATTACAGCCATGCACCACTGGGCTCGACTCAAATCCAGCTTTCAATTTGTACTTTTTAGTTAAATGTAGGGAGAAAATCCCTTGACCATCTTTGAGGATTACTTTGAAAGTTCCGGTCAGTCTTTGCCCTTACAGCAGAAGCCTTTGTACTTCTAGGCATTTCTTTCGTGTCTGGCTTGTGCTTCGGAGATCCTGATGACCTGTGCTCATAGACATTCCTAAAGATTTGATGCCTAAAGTAACAGTACTACTTCCTCCTCTTTAGAGAATTTACACCAATTCACTGTTTACTAGGCAGCTGGTTATTTTTTAACCCCTCACCCCACCCCTTTGTTTCATGGTGCTGAGTGTTGACCACGGTGCTTCATGTGTGCATGCCAAGCACAAACTCCTCATATTTTCTGAAGTTAGAATGGTCAGGGTTTTTGGCGGTAGGGCTGGAGAGATGGTTCAGTGGTTAAGAGGCACTGGCTGTGCAGTCACGAGGACTGTAGTTTAGATCCCAGCAGCTACACCACAAGCTGGGCTTTCTGCAGATCCCTGCAGTTCCAGCCACGGAGTCTCTGAGCTCCATAAATGTGTGCCTGTGCACATGCATTCACATAGGCACAGATGCAGGCACACATAAACAAACAAACAAACAAATAAATAATGAGTAAATCTTTAAAGAAGGCTTGCAGGCTGGAGAAATGTCTCAGTGGTTAAGAGCACTGGCTGTTCTTCCAGAGGACCCAGGTTCAATTCCCAGCGCCCACATGGCAGCTCATAACTATCTGTAACTCCTATTCCAGGGAATCTGACCACTTCACATGCAGGCAAAACACCACTATACATAAAATAAGTTTATTGAAAAAAAAGGAGACCTTCAATGCAGACACACTTGGTACCTTGAGAATGCTTGAAAATTTAAAGGATACTTGAGGGCCTAAGAAGTTAAGATTTCAGCTCTGCTTAGGGTTAGGTGATCTGGAACTATAGTGCATCTGTTTCTTGTCTTGGTTAGCCTCTCATCTCTGCACATCTGATCTGTCTGTACTTCCTCATGGTGAATAGCTGGGTTTTCTCCTGTCTCCCTGGAAGAAACATATATTGAGTTTTATGTGTAAGGTCAAACATATGAAGAAAGTCTGTCTTTCTCCCAAAATTCTTGTGGAAAGATGGGGCATCACGTAGTAATTTGGTTAGTCATAGTCCTGTGGTGAAAACCTGGCAGTTCTGTAACTGTGAAGGAGTTTGAGATGGAGTGGACAGTACTCCTCTGAGGTACCACAAGGCTTTCGTGGCTCCCAGGCTCTCACGCTCCCTTAGCTCATTACATTCCTCCCCTAGCTACCTCGTACATAGGAGACCCTTGATGAGCGTCATCTCGCTTGTTAGCCCCAAATGTGCTCGGCTTTGATGTTCACGCTCAGCTCTGCCTCTGACTTCCCCATACTGTGGCAAGTCTCCTTCTTCCTTCTATGCTGAGGCTGCCGTTTCCACTTCTCTGACGTCAGCTACTGAAGTCTCTTGCTTCCTGTGTCTGTCCTCTCCTTGAAGCTTGCCTTTTTTTGTTTTTAGATAGGGTTGTAGCCATGGCTGTCCTGGATCTTGCTCTGTAGACCAGGCTGGTCTTGAACTTACAGAGATCTACCTGCCTTTGCTTCTCAAGTGCTGGGATTAAAGCTTTCTTAATCAGACTTAGCTCTGGTCTGCAGTATAGTATAATGTATTTTCTCCCTCTGTTAGATGTTTTATCTCATCTTTTTATTATTCAAAGTTGTATTGTCTACGGTGAGTGTGTGTGGTGAGGGGAGAAGGAGAGAGAGAGGTGTTACTTGAGTATGGCCATGCAGTGCTGCATTGTGTATGTGGAAGACAGGTGACATCCTTCAGGAGTTGGCTCTCAGCTTGCACTGTGGAACCTCCAGCTTCTCTACTCGAGTAGCAGCTGCTCTTAATCGCTGAGCCATCGTTCAGGCCCCTCCATGAATTTTTAAAAGATTGATAGTAAGACCAGCTGTGTATGTTAGAATTTTGCCTGAGGCACCTTGACTGTTTTTGTTGGTAAATATGAGATTGGTGTGGAATTGGACAACTGTCAGTATTCTGGGCAGATTTTCTTTTCAAATTTAGTTCACCTGGTTTCACTCCTACTGTGGCCACTGGTAGTGGCTCGTGTGTGTAATATCAGCTCTCAGGAGCATGGAATGGGAGGAGTGCTGAGCATTCAGGTGCTATAGAATTGAGACACTGTCTCAAAAAAAATTAAAGAAGGTGGGGATTCTATCCATCCCTCTTCCTCTTCCAGCCTACCCCCAGTCTTGATTTTCACAACACCGTGAAAGAAAGGGGCTTAAGGTAGGAGGCAGAAGCAATAATGGCAATCAGTCACCTGTCCATGGGCCTCAGTCCACATGGGAAGTGGAGGCCCACAAAGGAACACCTTAGTTCTAGTTATTAAGTTTGAAAACAGTGGCCCACTTTTCCTCAGCGAGGGCTGAGGGGATTGCTCAGTTGGCAAAGGTTAGCTTTGCAAGTACATACTTGTAAAGCCTATTCTGAGGAAGGCAGAGACATGGTGCTGAGGGGCCAGCCTAGCTAACTAGATTGCGTCCAGGACAGTGAGAGAAGCTGTATAAAATTGCCAGCTAGCGGCCACCACCATTCTGGAAGTCTTTTGGGCTGTTTTATAGAGGACATGGGGGCTGGAGAGATGGCTCAGCAGTCGAAAGAACTGCTCTTGTAGAGGACTCAGGTTTGATTCCCAGCACCCAAGTGGCATTGCATAGACATGAAAGCAGGCAAAACATCCACACATATAAAATAAATTAGATCTGGATCTGAAAAAAAGTAAATAAAGGACAACTAATTTTTCAGGGATAGCTAGGTCCTATCCCAATCCTTTTGTGGTTTGCTTAGAGAAGCGCTGCCCTTGAGATGTGATCCACGACATGGACAAAGAAGTGAAGGATTTGTCTAGGAAGCACCCCACCTTTCCCAGGCCCTATGGGCAGCAGCACAGTTAGTGGAAGCATTGGTCTTAGATTTATGGTAATGAGAGACATCCAGGTTTGGTTTTAAGCTTCAGTTATGGCCAAAAAGGGGCTTTGCTGCTCCCATTCCCCGTCTTTTAGAGTGGTCTGCTAAAGGTCACAGCAAATAGTGGAGTAGTTCACACATACGTGTGTGTTCATGTGTACAGGTCAAAGGACAACTTAGTGGAGTTGGTTTTCTCTTTCCGCCTTTACATGGGTTCTAGGGATTGGACTCAGGTTGGCATGCTTGCTTGGCACGTGCCTTTACCCACTGAGCTATCTTGTCAGCCTGCAAAGCCTGCCTTCTCAACCACTGCATCCCAGTGTGCCTCCGCTTTCCGTCACCCCTAATGTGACTGAGACAGCCACTCTCCCGCTCGCCCTCTTCTAATCCCCACCAGCTCTCACATTGAGAGGACCTCTGAGCCTCCCTTGCCCCTTCTGCCCCTGGGTAATTGCCTTTCTTGGGATGGTGGTATTACAGTCACCGGAAGAAGAGAATGCGGCAGCTACAGAAGAAAATAAAGAGTGGGACCTTGAACATAAAGCAAGATGACCCCTTTGAGCTTTTTGTAGCCGCCACAAACATTCGCTACTGCTACTACAATGAAACCCACAAGATCCTGGGTAATACCTTCGGCATGTGTGTCCTCCAGGTAGGTGGCTTCTTCGAGCCTGGCAGTGCAGGGCATGGTGGTGGGTGGTTTGGGCTGCTTGCTTCCCCACTGAGAACGGGTCCAGTAAGGAGAAAAGGTTCACATGTAAGTACCTATGCCCCAAGCATTTTTACTGGAAGACTGGCCACTTTGAAAAGGAAACTGCTTTACTCGCCCTATATACAATTTTTCTGCACTTCATTAGAGGTAGCAAAAAGTGGAGCGCTGCACCATCACAGCTTCCTACCATCAGGACTTGATTCAGTAAGTTCTAGGCCAGTGGTGTGTGCCTTGGGACGCAGAGGCAGGAGAGTTGTGAGTTTGAGACCAGCCTGGCCTTCATCTTGTGGTCCTGTGTCGTAGAAGGAAACAACCAACATCTATAAGCACTGGACTGGGAGTCACCCTAGAGTGCACGTCCTGCTGGAACTAAGACTCCTAGCCTGTGAGCCCTGGTGGCAGTTACACAGCCCTGACCTGCATATCCACCCACCCCCTACTGAGTAGATAACACCCACTCCCCACCCCATTCTAGCTGTAAAAAAACACATACTTCCCTCAGCACAGCTTGGTGAAGTTTTCACTGGTCTTTGTTTTCTTGGCAGACAAGTTCATCAAACGTGTTCCTCGGTTCTTGTGGTTGTTCTGTGGTATTTGACTTTATTTGACATCTGTAACACCCCCTCACCCCATCCCTCAGTGACAAAGTGTCTGTGCACAAATCCATACATTCTTAAATATGTTTGTTACAGTCACATATGTACTCTGACCTTGTTATGTAAGTTAGAACACACCTCTCACAAAATGTGAGTTAAAAATGAGAATGGGAACTCAAGAATAGGAGTTTTTAGCTTTTTCTTGTTTTTTTTTTCTTCTGCATCTCACCCCAGCCCACCTAGGGAGCCAGAAAGAACATTTTGTCTCAAATGTTTTGCACCAGCCATCACCAGACATTGGAATGTTGGTTTCTTTGGGAACTAGCACCCCCATGTGGTACAGTTTAGTTTTGTCAGGTTGTCTGTAAACTGTCCAGAAAAGGCAAGCAAGATGCTTTTGAAATTCCATGTGAATCAGTGAAATTTGGAAGACTTTGCTTCCAGATAGTCTGTTAGATTATAATACCAGATACTTCTTGCATTCTGGGGATGGCCTGCCTCCTGTGGTGCCCTTGTTTCGGGGTGGGCAGCTGTGAGAGGTGAGGTGTTGGGCTTGTGCTCTGAAGCTCTCATTGCTGTACCCCTGTCTCCTGGTTAGGCAGCCTGAAGGTGCTGTTTGTGTCACTGCCCTTTCTAAGGTCTCTGATTCCTGGTAGGATTTTGAAGCATTAACTCCGAACTTGCTGGCCAGAACCGTAGAAACAGTCGAAGGAGGTGGACTGGTGGTCATCCTCCTACGGACCATGAATTCACTGAAGCAGCTGTACACAATGACCATGGTAAGAGTGCCTCTTACAGTTCACACAGAGCAGTCTGCAGTTGCTGTAGTTAGTGGGCACCTTGAGGAAGTGGTCTGCATAGCAGCCAAGTCACCATCACTACAGATGGATCCTCTCCATGTGTGATGAGAGGTCCTGAGTGTCATGTTTGCTTTCAGATAGTTGCGCTTCCACACTGGTGAGGTTGAGATGCAGGGCCTCACTTTACAGCCAGGACTGGTCTTGAACCCTTGCTCCTCGTGCCCCAGACCCCTCAGTGTTGGAATTATAGGTGTGTGCCACCACGGGCCTGGGACTGCTTCTGTGTATCCTATAGAGGGACTGTGCACTGACCCTCATCTTTCAAGGGCAAACAAAGTGATAGTTGCTGGCTCTACGTCAAGTCTGGCAAGAATTTAAGCTATGGGGAGAGGTAGCGTCCTACCCAGACAAGACAATGAGGACACGGTAATAAGTGGGGCTGCCGCATCTGCCTCTATTGCGGTTGCCAGGTCAGTGTTCTAAGAGCCAAGTTTAAAGTCGTCCTCAGGGAGGGCCTCGTGCCTCAGGAGTGCTGCTGCAATTGTCCCTGTCATTTGGTGATGGGTTTCTCTGGTGAGACTGGCTTTGCAGATTTTGAGGCTGCATTCTGTCACTCCCACACCCACTGTCACTTGACTAAAGCCCCTCAGACCCCTTCAGATGTGGCACTTCTCTTCCAGGGCCTCTGCCCTTGATGTTTCTTCTGGAGTGTACTTCCCTTGAATACCTGCAAGAGAGTGCCCTTCAGTGCGCTTCATCTTCTTTCCCAGTGGTGGTATGGGTCACCATATTAGACCAGGCGGTCCCATCTGTCGCTCCTTTATCTGTGTCATTGTCTTAGTCACTGCTGTGTTGCTGTGAGAAGACATCATGACCAGGGCAACTTTTTTTTTTTTTTTTTTTTGAAATCAGTTTCTTTGTGTAGCCCCGACTGTCCTGGACTTGCTTTGTAGACCAGTCTGGCCTCAAATTGACAGAGATCTGCCCGCTTCTGCCCTCTGAGAGCTGGGATTAAAGGTGTGTGCCGCCACACCTGGCTTAGGGCAAGTCTTATAAAAGCATTTCATTGGGGGTTTGCTCGCACTTGCAGAGGTTAGTCCATTATCATGGCAGAGAGTATGCTAGCATGGCAGCGTACAAGGTGCTGAAGAAGAAGCTGAGGGCTTACAGCCTGTAGGCAGAGAGAGAGGCTGGCTCTGGTGTGGGCTTTTGAAGCCTCAGAGTACACCGCATGTGACATACTTCTTCCAACAAGGCCACACCTCCTTCCTTCTCGCATGGTGTCTCTGCCTGATGACTGATGTCCTAGTCAGGTTACTGTTGCTGATGAGATGCCCTAACCAAAAACAGGGAGGAAAGAGTTTATTTGCCTTATGTTTCCACATCATATAGGGCAGGAACCTCAAGGCAGGAGCTGATGCAGAGGCCATGGAGAGGTGTGGCTTACTGACTTGCTCCTCTGACTTGCTCAGCCTGCTTACTTATAAAACCCAGGACCACCAGTCTGGGGATGGCACCACTCACAATAAGCCAGACCCTCCATATCAATGACTAATTATGAAAATGCCCTAAAGCCAGCTCTAATGAGGGTATTTTCTCAATTTAGGTTTCCATTTCTCAAATGACTCTAGCCTGTGTCCAGGTGACATAAAACCAGCTGAGACAACTTAGCATTCAAATATATGGGCCTGTGTGGGGGTAGAGAGGCATGCTCATTCATACCACTACAGCTGTGTCTCTTCAAGCACTCGGCAGCTCCCTAACACTCTTGTGTTTAGTCTCCCTTCTACTAGTTACAGAACTTGAGAGGGGCCACCTAGTTACATTCACCTGGCACGTACAACCCGCTGGTTAGATAGGATGGCTTTGCGTCCACATTAGTTTAATTAGTCATCCCATCTCCTGCACTTGTGTGCTCATCCTTCCAGTCTGCTCCTCATCTCTGGAAGGCTTCCTGATGACCGGAACTAAGAGGGTCTCCTCATTTGCTCTCAACACACTGTATGTTTCATGGGTAACACTTACTTGTCTATAGCTGTCAGGCCAGAGTTCTTGTTAGTTAACCAGTGCACACACAGTGTGTCTGGTGCTCTAGCTGGTGCCTACATTTAGCTGAGTCCCAGTGCTGGATGAACTGCGGAAGACAGCGGGGATGGGGGAGGGGCAGCTAGCGGGGTAGAGACCTCGCATGTGGTGCGGATGCAGCACAGCTGGGAGGAGTTGCTCACTCTTCTCACAGGTGCTGATGTCTCCTAGGGTAGTGTTTCATGGTGCATTTAGAAGATTTTGTCAGTGGATGTTGCCTTGTTTTCTTAGGATGTGCATTCCAGGTACAGGACGGAAGCCCATCAGGACGTGGTTGGAAGATTTAATGAGAGGTAGGTCTACCGGCCAGTTCCTGCAGTTGCTGGGAATCCGAATGGGAGAAATGTCTTTATCTTGGACCCAACAAGTTTGCTTTTGTATCAGAGGGATGTAGTATAGGCTTTCAAAACTGAGTGAGGCTTGTTTTGTTTTGAAACAGGTTTTCAGTGTGTCACTCCAACTAGCCTCGAACTTATGACTCACTGTTCAGCTTCTCAAGTGCTAGAGGAGCCAGTGTGTGTCCAGCTAGCAATGAGACCCTGATAGCAACAGTACTGTGAAATGAAGTGGATGAAGAGGAAGGGCTGGAGGCTGGGACCAGCAAATCACTACTTAACCTTGCTGCTGGCCTGACTAGTTTTGGGTGGCTTCTTTTTCCTCTTTGGCTCTTAGCTTACTCTTTTGTCCAAGGAATGGTTTCTCCAGATCAGTGGTTCTCCGCCTTCCTAACCCTGTGCCCCTAATACAGTTCCTCAGGTTGTGCCGACCTCCAACCATAAAATTATTTCTGTTATGAAAACTGTAATTTTGCTACTGTTATGAATTGTAATGTAAATGTTTTCCAGTGTTCTTAGGCCACCCTTGTGAAAGGGCTGTTTAATTCCAAGGGGACCTACAGGAGAGAACCACTGTTCAGGATCACTGTCCCAGAAGGCATCCCAGAGAGCACTAGTCTTTTAGAGGTAGCTAATGATAAGAGAGCTTTTTGGCCAGTTAATCTGGGAAATGTTGATAACTTTGCCTTTGTGAAGACTCACATGCATTTGCTGGTGCCTCTGAAATGTTTTGCAGCAGCTAGAACAGTCAGTTCTCAACATGTGGGTCATGACCCCCACAGAGGTTACATATCAGTTATTTACATTGTGCTTTATAACAGTAGTAAAATTACAGTTATGAAGTAGCAACGAAATAGTTTCATGGTTGGTGTCATAACATGAGGAGCTGTATTAAAAGGTCGCAGTACTAGGAAGGTTGAGAGCCACTGCTTTAAGCTTTGGTCTACATCAGTTTTTTACTGGGGTGACTTTGACCTATAGGGACATTAGGCAGTATCTGGAGACGTTTGACCATCATGACTTTGGGGATGGTGGGGTAGAGTGCCATTGGTACTGAGTGCACAGAAGCCGGGGGTGGTGCTGAAAACTCCCAGTGGACAAAACAGTCACCATGAAAAAGAATGATCAGCTCCAAGATGTAAGTCCTGCTGAGGCTAAGAAATCCTCCTGGCAGGGCTGGAGAGATGGTTCAGAGGTTAAGAGTACTGGTTGCTCTTCCAGAGGCCCTGAGTTCAATTCCCAGCAACCACATGATGGTTCACAACTACCTATAATGAGACCTGGTGCCATTTCCTGGCCTTCAGGTGTACACGTAGACAGAATACTGTATACATAATAAATAAATATTAACAAAAGAAAGAAAGAAAAGAAAGTTGAGTTTTTTTAAATAGAAGAAATCCTCTTGGCCTTGAGCTCAGGAGCCCTTCCAACTTTAGCCATGGTGCTTTGGCTGAGGGCCGTGAGAGCAGGAGGAGGAGAGGCAACAGTGTGCTGGTGACTAGAGAAGTTCTTAAGTCCTTTCAAATAGTGTCACTTCCCGTGGACTGTGCATTCAAATATATGCTGCGTGTGGGGGCCATTCTTATTCAAACTACCACGCACACATGAAAGATGTTCGAATTGTTTAACCAAGTCATATTTTCCTTTATGCAAGAAATTTTTTACGAGGGCTTTGTTTTCCTCTTGTGCTTTTTTTCTTCCTTATGACAGGAGGTAGAGTCGTTTTGTTAGTATTTGTGTGACTGGTGACTTGTGTGGCTTGGGTCTAGGGCTGCCTTACTGCTAAGGAGCTTTGGATGAAGGGTGGGCCAAATGACCCAAAACAGTGGCGTTCTTGCACAGTGGAGCTCCTGCCTGTGCCCCTGGCACTCAGGTGGCTTGCAGCTGAAGCATCTCACTGCATTCCACCTGGGTTCTGACTTGATTTTCCTGAAAAAAATCTTCAGAGTTCTTGCTTAGACATTGCCCGCCTTCCGTGTCACCTCTGAGCAGCTTTGTCCCTCAGGTTTATTCTCTCCTTGGCGTCTTGTAAGAAATGTCTGGTTATCGACGACCAGCTCAACATCCTGCCCATCTCCTCCCACGTGGCCAGCATTGAGGCCTTACCTCCTCAGGCCCCGGTGAGTCTGGGGTGGGGCAACAGGAGTGAGGGCGTGCAGTTTCCCTGTGAGCTCCTGGGCTGGGGCAAACTGCCTTCTCTTGTTTGGTAGGATGAGAACCTCAGTCCTGCTGCTCTGGAGCTGCAGGAGTTGAAAGAGAGCTTGCAGGACACTCAGCCTGTGGGTGTTTTGGTGGACTGCTGCAAGACCCTGGACCAGGTATGTATGGTTTCAGGCCTTCCCCACCCTGATGTTGACGAGACAAGGGTAAGACAGAAAGCAAAAGGAACCAGGTTAGGACATGGCAGCTCCACAGCATCAGGCTGTGTAGTGTTGTCTGGGATCACAAAGAAAGGCAGCCAGTGAGCTGAAGGGCTGTATTAAAAGAGTAACTGTCTTCCACAGAGGGTGATGGCCTTGTGTTCTTTAATTCTAGTTAAGATTGATGATAGAAAGGGTTTTATTGTTGTTTTTTTGTTGTTGTTGTTGTTGTTTTCAAGACAGGGTTCTTTGTGTAGTCCTGTTTTCTCTGTCCTGGAACGTGCTCTGTAGACCAAGCTGCCCTCAAACTCAGATACAGATAGTCGCCTTCCTTTGCCTCCTGAATGCTGAGATTAAGAGCGTGGGCCACTACTGCTCAGCTGACGTAAGGGTTTTTGCTTATGATTTATGTAGAAGAGTGGAGGGGAGCTCTAGGCTCCTTTTACTAACGCTCAATCCTGGATGAATCTTATTTGGGGGTATACTAATAGAGTTTAAGCGGAAACACCAAGATGTGTTTCTGTGCTTGCCGATGTGATCAGCTGGTAGTTTACCCAGTGACTTCCAGGGCCTGAATGTTTGCTAGTTAGCACTGCCTGAGGCCTCCCAGCTGCTATCAGTTCAGAGTTCTGCCCAGCCTTGGTCAGATGAGCAGCACAGGCTAGCCCACCGATAGCTGTGGTGATACTCCCCTTTCTGCCCTTTGCTGCCCCCCCTTCCCCCAGTAGGCTGGCTTCCCTTTTCCTTCTGGAAGCATAATTACAGACTCTGTGCTGGCTAGGTTGTTTTGAACCACTCCTGGTCTAGTGAAAGAGACTGAGCTAAAGTAAAAGAAGCTTATTTAGGAGGCTGAAGCAGAAAGATTGTCATGGGTTTAAGCCAGGCTGGGCTAGTTAGTGAAATCCTTTCTAAAAAAAAGGGAAGGAGGCCCAGTAGCGTGCTTGCCTAGTATGCACAAAGCCCTGGGGTCAATCCACAGCAATGCATAAACTGGGCATAGTGGTACCTGCCTGAAATCCTACTGCTAGGGAGGTAGAGACAGGAGGTTTAGAAGTTCAAGGTCATGCTGGGCTATAGTGAGTTCCAGGCCAGCTTGGGATACATGAGACCCTGTCTTTAGAGAAACAAGGAAAGAAGCCATGCAAAACAAAACCAGTTAATAAAGCACAAAAGCACGTACATTAACAAAATAGAAAAACGGCATCTGTGTTGGTTCCAACTGTTCTGCCAAGTGTGATAATGTATGCCTATATTCTGAACACATGCCTGATGACTGACAGGAGGATCATCGGTTCTGAGGCCACGTATAGCAAGCCACTGTCTCAAAAAATAATTCCTCTTAGGACATTCTCCCAGATAGATATGTGGCTATCACATCCAGGAGCAGCTGGATCCGAGATTGTGTGCACTAAAATGGATGCGGGCCCCAGTTGGTAGTGCCTCTGAGAGTGCAGGACAGTTCTTTCTCCCAGCTTCGGGACAGTGGCATCTGAGTCGTGACTGATGGTTGTTTCACCCTGAGAGAGGCAGGCTACTCTTTGGGTTATGAAGTTTGCTCATGTCTGTATTCCTTGTATATTTGTCTTTTTCACATTAGCCTTTTATTTTAGATACATATTTTAGGGTGCTTTAGTCTCCTTTTTTTTTAAAATTAGCATTTGCTACTTCTCTTCCGTAAAATTTAAAAAGTAAAATGTCATTCTGCAAAGGCCAGGTACATGTACACCCAGTCCCTTGGGTGTTTTTGTCTGAAGAGCCTGGTGTCCTGAAGGCCCTTCGGCCTGTACTGGGCCTTCATCTTAGCGCTGCTGCCCTAAGGACAAGGCTGGCTCCTCGGGCCCAGACAGGCATCGCCTGCTTCCCACTGTCAGCGGGATCCAGGTGTGGCCCTGATTGGTAGTGTGCCTCTAGACATTGTTCCCGCCAGTGCCAGGCCCTTGGCTGGGGACGGGCTTGGCACTGAGAGAGCAAGGACACCCTCAGAGCCCATCTTTTTTTTTTTTTTAATGTGTTTATTTTTACATACATTTGGTGTTTGGTGTACATGGATGTCGGTGTGTAGGAAGTCGGATCCGCTGGAACTTCAGTTACAGACCGTTGTGAGCTGCTGTGTGGGTGCTGGGAGTTGAACTCGGCTGAGGAGCCGAGCAAAGGGAATGAGAAAGATTGGTGCTGAGCCGTGCCTTCTGGCCTGTAGGAACTGATGCCCTTTTGCTTGGCCTCGGCATCAGCTTAGTCTCTCCAGCGATGGCAGTAAGAGCCGCACCTGGAGCCTTTCTGGGTGTTCACGTAATGTTCCCTTTGCACAGGCCAAAGCCGTCTTGAAATTCATCGAGGGGATCTCGGAGAAGACCCTGAGGAGCACTGTCGCACTCACCGCTGCCCGAGGACGGGGCAAGTCTGCAGCCCTGGGCCTGGCTATTGCTGGGGCAGTAGCATTCGGGTAAGGGCTCCCCATGGGCAGTGAGCAGGATTGGGGTCAGGAGTGTGGCTGAGTTGTCTCTGGCTCCTCATCAGGGCTGGTTACCATGTGGCTTCTGTCAAGGTCTTGGGTACTTGTCTGGAAGCTGCAGCCCTGTTCCCCTAGGTCACGGAGGGGCACACTGGGCTTAGAGGCAGGACCAGGGGCTTTTGTTTGCTGCTTAAGTTGAACAAGCGCAAACGCAAAGAAGCCCTCTCAGCAGGAGAGTGTCTCACCAGCTTTGCTGACTGAGCAAATACAAGTGAAATATGTTATGGCTCTGCTTGGTGGTGGGTCTTTGTTCTAGTAAGATGTTGTGTCTGTCCTTGTCCTGAGTGGAATAATTATGTGATTGCCCTGAGTATGCTTTGCCAACACAGATGATAGGCCTACAACCCATTGTCCTGCATATGCTGCTGTTCTTGGTGTTACTTAAAGTTCTGTGGGCATTTTGTTTGTTGGTAAACCAAGGCCCAGGGAGTTGTGATGATTACCCAAGATCCCCCAGCAAGTTGCTGCTGCCAGAGCTCTGGCCTTGCCCTCAGCACCCACTGAGTTCCATGACTTCATAGCTTGAAAACCTCAGTCTAGCTAGTGATGAGTGTGAGGCTGCCCTTCCTGTCAGGACACTGGATTAGGGTAGTGTGTGAATTGTGCACGTGGACAGCTATTCTCATAGTCTGCTACTCAGCACCCCTGACCTGATGAGGTAGCCATGTGCAATGAGCTTGCTACCAGCACAGCCATAACCTACTTGTATTGGTTTTGAAGAGGAGTGTACTCGGGTCTTGGTTGCTTTCCCCTTCTCCCAAAAAATGTCCTTTCTTTTCCTGTTGTTGTCTCTGGTTACCATTTGTGTGACAGAAGCAACCAAAATGATCTCCTAATTTTATTGCTTCTTAAAAAAGTATCCATTTTTTTAAAGATTCGTTTATTATTTATTTATTTATACAGTGTTCTGCCTGCACGTAGGTCTCTTCACCAGAAGAGGGCACCAGATCTCATTATAGACCATTGTGAGCCACCATGTGTTTGCTGGGAATTGAACTCAGGACCTTTGGAAGAACAGCCAGTGCTCTTAACCTCTGAGCTATCTCTGCAGCTTTATTTGCTTCTTTAAAATGTTCTAAATCTCTTAATTTCTAAACCACCTCCCCCACTTTTATTTTGTTCTGCAGGTATTCCAATATTTTTGTTACCTCCCCAAGCCCGGATAATCTCCACACGCTGTTTGAATTTGTATTTAAAGGATTCGATGCTCTGCAGTATCAGGTTGGACTGTAGGGGAGACCTTTTGCTTTAATGTTGGAGTTAAGCTCATGGTCTATGGAATGCTTGCTTTCTCTGTAGTGAGTTTCTAAAACTTGTCATGGGTTTGGCTCTTTCTTCACCAGGAGCACCTGGACTACGAGATCGTACAGTCTCTAAACCCCGAGTTTAACAAAGCGGTGATCAGGGTCAACGTGTTCCGAGAACACAGGCAGACTATTCAGGTGAGGTTCATCTCAGGTCTTCCCTGTGGGCCAGGGTCCTGCCCTGTGGACCCAGCTGTGTGGTGTGCCCCCAATGCGGGTGACTGCTTGTCGTTGACACAGCAGTGGTATGTGAGAAGCCTGTGTAGATTTTCAGCTGAGTGTGAAGATATTCAGGTCAGCTAATAGAAATGCATGTAGTTGGATTGAAAAGTACAGTTTGATTCTTTGACTGGAATTAATGAGTTTGAGAATATGCTAATAAGTAGAAAAAGATCAAGGCACTGATCAGTTCAGGTTTTTCTGAGTTACTGTAGGTTTTGAGATAGGACGTCTGTAGCTAAAACAATAACGTCACCATCTCAAAGGAGAGAGCTTTGCAGAATGTGCTGGGGACCCCTGTGGTTTTGCCAATGCCCTATTTCCCTTTAAACAGCATTTCCCGGAAAGCCCCATAAATCTTGAGCACTCTGTCAGCCCAAATGCTAAAGACGTCAGTGTCGCTCGGACTGTGAGGCATCGTGTGACAGGACTGCAGAGGCAGGAGGTTCACTGACTCTGGCTGGACCGATTCATTGAATGCCTTTGAAGTTAGATGGGCGGGAAGTAAGCCAAGTGAACTTGGCAGCTTACCCCTGCAGTCGCACTGGGTGGACCTGTCAAGGTGTACCCTAGGCAGGTGGTCAACACCATTCTTTATGCCTTTGGCCTTTACCCTGGGATCTTTTTTAGTTTTACTTAGATTCTCTCTTTTTTAAATCATCTTCTGTGTGGGTGTTTGCCTGCATGTATGTCTTTGTATCACATACATGTCTAGTGGTCTGTTAAGATCAGAAGAGGACACTGGACCCTCTGGAACTGGAGTTAGAATGGTTAGGAACCACCAGTGTGGGTGCTTGAATTGAACTGGGGTCCTCTGGAAGAGCAGCCAGTGCTCCTGACTGCTGAGTGCTCCTGACTGCTGAGCCATCTCTGAAGTCTGGTGGTCTGTTTCTAATTTCTCTGTTCTGCCTATTTTATCTCACTGTTGCCTAATTACCTCAGCTGAGGAGAAAACTGCTGCTAGGCTGAGTTGGGGTTTGTTTGGGGATAGGCTGGGTTGTTGGCTCTGAGAATACAGGGAACTGTTAAATCTCAAGAAAAATACACAAACCAAAGAAGGAAAACATTTCTCAGATATGCCCTAGTTCGTTTGGCCCTGGTTCCCTTTAAGATGTTTGTAATCCAACACTTTTTCTTTACAAGAGTCTGTTTGTGTAGACTTGGGATGAGTGCAGAGTATGTGACGTGACTTTCTAAGACTCTAAGTGCGCCCCTTTTAGCCTGGAGATTGAGAAGAGAGAGAGAGAATTAGGTGAAAGCCAGGCTGCTCCCTGGAGGCTGTTTTCTGTGCTTTTATGAGATGCTTGTTTAGTTAAGAATCAAGATGTGGGGCCCCACTGAAGATTGTAAGCAGAAGTGAGTAGGGCAGCTCCCTCCCTGATCCAGCCATCTCCAGAACAACCTGATCTTTCTTGTGATGAAACGCAGAGACCAGCCTGCTGCTTGGATGGCTAGCATTCTCACCGAAGCTGGCTGGCTGCTCTTGCTGTGTGCCTATGTGCAGCCATGCTGTGCTGCCCTCCCTCCGCCCACCTTTTCACTCTTTAGCTGTTTGCAGATCTCTAGATTGACGCTTGCAGGTCAGATTGATGCACTTTTTAAGTGCCATCCGGGGTGCTAAGATTTGTGTTGTTTTTGTTTTCCAGCACAAGTACAGAATTGTTGAGCTTTAGACTTAGATGTGGAGATGTCTAGTTTTCGGGGGTTTCCCCAAATTCTTCTGTGCAGTGTCTGTTCCCATTTACCTTCATACCACTTTTTGAGTTTTTATTTTCTTAAGTCGTCATTCTTGCTGGGTGCAGTGCGGCAACTCTTGAGTTTTTGTTTTGTTTGACTTTCTATTTACTGTCCTGTCTTAGCTTCCTGAGTATATGGATTATAGGTATGAACTATCACACTTGGTTTTTTGCTGTTGTTGTTTGGTTTGGTTTGAGCCAGAGTCTCCATGTATAACACTGACCAACCTTAACTCACTGTGTGGCTCCAGGCCAGTATCAAATCTTCCTGCTTCACCATCCTAAATGCTGCTGTGCGGATTTCTACCACCATGTCCAGCTTTTCCAGGAATTTGGGGTTTGTCTATGTGCAGTTCACTGATTTATGAAATTGAATTATCTTTAGTTATTTTAATTCATGTTGCCTCTAAAGAAACTGATGGGTTGTTTGTTTCAGTTAAGGATGAGAGAGGTGGGGAGAGGGAGGAGGGGTGATGGTGTGGGAGATAGGAAGAAGAACAGCGTGGACTTAGGAAAGAGGATCTGCAGTTCACGGTTAGTTTTGGCTACATAGGAAGTTTGAGGCCAGCCTGGGCTACACGATACCACCCTTGCTTCCTTCCCCTCATTTAAAAAAAAAAAAAAAAAAAAAAAAGTAGTCAGAAATTGCCAACTACACCGGAGGTTGGTGGTATCAGGACAGAGATCATGGCACATAGATGAAAACCCAGTGTCACATGCAGTAAGAACTGTGCCACCTACCACTGGCCTTCCCTAATATGAGGCTGAGGAAGAACATGAGACACGAAAGAGGGAAAGGAATGTAGCTATTGCCAATCAGTTCTATAAGCCAGGCTGTGCATGATCTTTTACATGAAGATCTTGCTTCTTCTTTAAGCAACCATTGAGTAGGTTTCCTTGTGTCTCAGTGTGTGCATGCATGTTGTGTGTGTGTATTTATGAATGTGTATATGGATGAGTGTATGTAAGTCAGAGGGCCACATAGGGTGTCTTTGTTTGCTCTCCACCATAGTTTTTGAACTTGAGTATGCAGTATTGGGTAGACTGGCTGGCTAGCGAGCCCTGGCAGCAACCCTGTCTCCTGAGCATTGGGATCGCATGTCTGTGTGCTTGTGCTTTTATGTGGGTGTTGGGCAGGATCCAGACTCAGACCCTCCATGTTTGTGCTGCAAATGATTGAGCCATCTTCACATAATCAGTAATTGAAGTGTTTGGTCCCAGGTTTCCAACCTGAAGGTCATTTCATTCTTGATTTGCCAAAAGTAGAAAGTGGGGGGAAATGTGGGAAAAAAGGAAGTGGCAGAGTGGACTTTGTGATGAGTCATTGGTCCTCACCGGGTGCTGTGGATTTACATGGCTACACTTACAATCTACATCTGTTTTCTCACAGTACATCCATCCTGCAGATGCTGTGAAACTGGGTCAAGCTGAGCTGGTTGTGATAGATGAAGCTGCTGCTATTCCCCTCCCCCTGGTGAAGAGCCTGCTTGGGCCCTACCTGGTTTTCATGGCATCTACCATCAATGGGTAAGTACCTGGGCCGAGCTATGTGTTACTCTGCCTCTGCCTTCCGAGTGCTGGGATTGAAGGTGTGCTCTGCCACGGCCTGACTTTTACATATTGTTGTTAATAGTCTGTTTTACATATGTCCAGGTCCAGAAATATATGTACACAGTATTGAAAAGATTCCTGTACAAAAATCACATCTTTAAGAGAGACTTTTAGATTATTATGATTACTTAACATCAAATGTGTTTACATAAAAGTTTTATCTTTAAAGACAGCTTCATTGTAGTATGCTTTGCATTCTATACTAACTCATGTCAAGTCTATAATTCATTTACACAACCGTGTTCACTACCGTCAATTCTAAAATACTTCAACCTCCCCAAAAAGAAGCCCCGAACATCTCCTTCGAGTGCCTCCATACTGTGTAGTTCAGGAGCTACGGCCCACTGTGTATTTCTGCTCTAGGGTTCCAGATAAGTGGAATCATATAGTGTGTGGGGTTTAAAAGACATTTTTAAAAAAATTATGATTAGTTGTTTACATGTGTGTGCACATGTGTGCCATGACCAGTGTGTAAAGGTCAGAGGACAGCTTGTGGGAGTCTGTTTTCTCCTCCTATCATGTGGGTCTCAGGGATCAAACTCAGGTCTTCAGTCTGGGGACAAGTGCCTCTCCCCACCGAGCCATCTAGCCATCCAGTACGTAGCCTCCCATGGTGGCTTTTCGCTCACTCCAGTGCTCTCGGCTCACCCATGGAGCTTTGCTGGTATTTCTGTTTGTGGCTGGATGATGCTCTGCTGTGTGGAGAGACCCTGCTTGTCTGAGAGAGCATTCGGGTTTTCCCTCAGTTTGGCCGTTAGTGAAGCTGACATGCACATTTGTACAGAGGTTTCTGGGTGGACTTGTTTTCAGTGCTTTTGCACATGGACTGAAGAGTGGGATTTTAGAGACTGCAACCATATGACTAGCAGCCAGAGCAGCTGCGCCATTTAGTTCTCAGTGTTTTAGTAACTTGTGGCCAAGCATGATTAAAAAAGTAAGTGGAAAATTACATAAATAATTCATGTTTTGTATAACTTGTATTAGACTACATTGTTAAAAATTATTACTGTTATTGATTATGTGATATATATTAATTATATATTAGTCATTAACATGCATATAGAGGAAAACCTTGATATGCGTGTGGGATTCAGTCCTAATGCCCCTCTGCTGAAGGGGCTGTACTGCGGGAGGACTCTGAATTCCGCACTTAGACACTTGTGATGATGGTAGATATTTCTGCTAAAGTAATGTCGCACTTTGCTTTTCATTTGCTTTGCCCTTATAATTCATGGTCCTGAGGTTCCTCTGCCGTGCTTCAGTCTTTTGTCATTTGCTGCTGCTTGTACCCGGCTAGGTGCCCCTCGCTTCCAAGGATTCTCCTGCCTTTGCCTCCTATCTTATTGTAGGAACGCAGGATTCTAGACAGGTGCTACCAAGCCTGGGTTTGTGTCAGCTCTGCGGATCCAAACTCAGATCCTCCTGTTTGCATGGCAAGCACTTAAGCCATTGAATCATCTGCCCAGCCCTGCATCACCTCCTAGGTGAAAGGATAAAAGTAATCACTTGGCAGGGGCGCTGGTGAGATGGCCCAGCAGTGAAGAGCACTGGCTGCTCTTGCAGAGGACTCAGGTCCATTCCCAGTCCCCACATGACTGCTCAAAACCATTTGTAATTCCACTTCCAGGGGATCTAATGCCTTCTTCTAGCCTCGGTGGGCACTAGGCGTGCAGTGCTACACATATGTACTGTAGGCAAAACACTTACACACGTAAAATAAAAACAAGTCTAACAAAAAGAATCACCTGAATTAATATTTGTTTGACTTCGATTTTCCCACATGGGAATAGACCCACATTCATGTCTTCGTGGAACTTCTATCAGCAATGTTAGACTGCATAGCATTGTTCTAGTTTCATTGGTTTACATCATCGTTCAGGCCTTATTTTCAGATCACAGACCTGTGAAGTGTGTAGGATAAGCCTCTTTGGAGTTGAGGCTTAAAGAAGTCAAGATTGTGTTGCAGGAAGTCCAGAACAACCAAGGCTACAAAGAGAAACCCCATCTTGGAGAGAGGGAGAGAAGGAGGGAGGGAGGGAGACGGAAAGAGAGAGAGGAGAGTGTTCACAGTAGGGCTTGAATCTGAGCCTCAGTGGTTCCTAGCCAAGTCACATCTTGGTTCATCTCCTTGGGACCTGTGTGTGCTGCTCTGGAAGTTTAGGTGAGCAAGGCTGTCTTGGTTTCATCTGGCTGTCTCCTCTTGGAGAGTAGATTGGGGACCTTAAGTCTGACTGTCTTTGTCTTTCTCCTAGCTACGAGGGCACTGGCCGGTCACTGTCCCTCAAACTCATTCAGCAGCTTCGTCAGCAGAGTGCCCAGAGCCAGGTCAGCACTACTGCTGAGAACAAGACCACTACGACAGCTAGACTGGCCTCAGGTACCCAGCGGGCCTCTTCTGACAGTCCCGTCCCAGGGCCTCATGGCAGGAACTTGGCTTGGGTCTTCGGATTCCTGGGGCCTTTTTGGTTCCTGCTCTAAGACACGGGTAGGGTATGATGACTTAGTGGGAATCCATTAGGTTAGTGTCAGAGCTAGGTGAATCACCCAAAACACTGTAAATCACCCAAGTTAAATATTGAGTGAAGGATACGTGGACATTGTCACAGATAGAGTGCAGTCTCCTTACTGCTGTTAGTCTCTCTGTGTTGAGTAATTGTTTCTGATTGTATGTGTTGTGGGTAACAGCTCGGACACTGCATGAGGTTTCCCTCCAAGAGTCAATCCGATACGCCCCTGGGGATGCAGTAGAGAAGTGGCTGAATGACCTGCTGTGCCTGGACTGCCTCAACATCACCCGCATCATTTCCGGCTGCCCCCTGCCTGAGGCCTGTGAGCTGTATCCTTGTGTCTCTCTAGCCCAGTGTGGGGGCCTGAAGGGTTTGGGCTGGGTGCAGTGGCATGTGCTTGTAGTCCTTGCCCACATTTCAGAGGCTGATTTAGGAGGCAGACATGGAACCACAAATTCAGAGCCAATCCAAGCAAAACAGTGAGCCGTGAAATCTCCATCTCTCTCGCTCGCTCTCTCCCTCTCTCCCACCTCCCCCCACCTCTCAGTTTGAGACAGGGTTTCTCTGCGTAGCCCTGGCTGTCTTGGAACTCACTCTTTAGACAAGGCTCGTATAGATCCTCCTGCCTCTGCCTCCCAAGTGCTGGAATTGAAGGCGTGCACCACTACCACCTGGCAAGATCTTGCCTTTTTTAAAAAAAAATTTTTTTTTTGAGGAACATTTTTAATTTTGTTTCTTAGGTTTCTCCACTGTAGTTTAAGACACTGGGCTCCTATTCCCAAGCTAAGGGAAATCTGCATTTTTTTTTTTTTTTCTACCGTGTCTTGTTTTGGGTTCTCTGTGGTTTGTTTCCATTGCTTAACTCCAGACCAGCTACTACGTTAACAGAGATACTCTCTTTTGCTACCACAAGGCCTCTGAAATTTTCCTCCAGCGGCTCATGGCTCTTTATGTGGCTTCTCATTACAAGGTAACCAAACTGCTCCCACATGCCTGTCAGCAGGGAGCAGTCCTCATGTCTTCCCATACCTGCTCTTCGGGGTTCTGGCTGGGACTGAATTATGCTGAAGCTGGCAGGGTCCAGGGACCTTGCAGGAGGGGTCATATTCCCTCTTATAGCTGTGTGACTTGGGGTCATTTGGCTTTGGACAGAGTGTCAGAGTGCACGAGTTGGAGGGGTGGGGCCAGTGTGGCCCTTCTCAAAGGGCACTGGTATTGCCCGCTGGCTCACTGCCTAAACTGACAAGCCGAAGTGGGATCAGCACTTGGAGCCTAGAGGTGCTGCTGAGCTAAGGAGCAGAGAACCCGAGCTTGGTGCAGTGAGACATAAGAGCTCACAGCAGGCTGGAAAGGTTGCTTCCTGGGTGTCTGGGCATTGCAGCGTGCCCATGAGCAGCCTCTTCTAGGAGGCTGAAGAGTGGTTGTTAGTTGTGGTGGCGTGCTTTCCTGAAACAGCGAGTCACCTTTTCTCTGGAGAAAGTGTACTTCTCAATTGTGAAATAAATAACTTCCGCTGCTTCATGACCTCAGCATTGAGCATGAGTAGACAAGACAGTAGGTACTGAAGGCTCAGTCCCACTGCAGCCAAGGTGAAAAGTCTCGGGCTTGCCCCAGTGATAGAAAGGTGCTTTGCCAGGTCAGAGCCTCTTCTGCTTTGGAAAAGGCAGGGCTGCAATCACCCATTGAGTGCCAGTGGGTCCCTGTGAGTGACGGCCGATAGGAGTGCATGCCGCTGACCTTGTGTATGCTCTACAGAACTCCCCCAACGATCTGCAGATGCTTTCGGATGCACCTGCTCACCACCTCTTCTGCCTTCTGCCGCCAGTGCCCCCCACCCAGAATGCCCTGCCTGAAGTGCTTGCGGTTGTCCAGGTATAGAGCAGAAAGAAGCGTGGTGTGGCATTGGTTTGGGGGCTGCTTGGGCATTTGTGTGGCCAGGGAAGCTGTTGGGTCCTGACTTGGATCTAGTGCTTGGGTTACTTGAGGCAGGTGATGGCATGCACTGAAGAAGTTTTTTTTCTTTTTTTGGTGTTTTTTTCTTTTCCATAAACTTGGGATTACAGATGCCATACTCTTTTCTGCAGTGTGTCAGTGTTTATAACCTACTGCATAGTGCTTTATTATGTGTTCAGATAGTATTTGTCTCAGCACTTGCCTGTCACAGTCTTGGGTTCTCTGCCATTTGTGCTGCTCCATATTGAGCTGTGTGTGTGTTGTGTGTTGTGATGTGTGTTTAGGTGATGCATACCACTTGCCCTCCCTGGTGCCCTCTTGTACTCTGGCTTTTTGTTCTTGGGGCTGTGGAGGATGTCAGTATTCTGCTTTGTGAGGCAGTAGTGGCCTGTGGCATAGTAACGAAGCCTCGGGAAGAGTGTGGGGCCCGAAGCCAGGGTGGAAACGATTCTTAGAGAAGTGGCAAAGGTTGATGCTTGGGATCTGGAGCTAGATGGGGCCTGCCCTGCCTTGGTTTCCCCTAGGTGTGCCTTGAAGGAGAGATTTCTCGTCAGTCTATTTTGAATAGCCTATCTAGAGGCAAGAAGGCTTCGGGGGACCTGATTCCATGGACAGTGTCGGAGCAGGTGAGGAAATTGCTGCCACTGCATGTCTATCTGTCAGAGGATGTTTGTGTTGCTAAGTCACTGGCTCATGTCTCCCACAGTTTCAAGATCCAGACTTCGGAGGCCTTTCTGGTGGACGGGTTGTTCGAATTGCTGTTCACCCGGATTATCAAGGGGTAACCCATCCTCCCTTCTGTCAGACTATCTGTGCTGCCGTTCAATGGGCTCCCAGCACCCCTTAGCAGGGCTGTGGGATGAATAGAAGCTGGTTACACCAGTAACATTTTAGGTGTCCTCTGCTGTGGAGAATTTATCCGGGGCTTGGGGTGGGCAAGGTTGGTGGCATAGTCCTTCTCCTGTGTTAGAACACAGGACTTATTGAACCAGATTGTTTTCCATAATTGCCTTTCTGTCCCTTTGAAAGCCACACTGAGGAGTCAGCTGTAGAAGCATCCCTTTCTGGCAGTGGCACAGATGGCCACTTTTAGACTCAGGTTGTGAGTGGGCTGTGGCTGGAGGGCTAAACTAACGTAAGAACTGGTGCCAGAGCCAGCTTGACAGCATTGGGTTTTGTTGATAGTTTTCTTTTTTTTTCTTCCCAGATGCAGTTTGATCAGGAACAAATGCGTTAGGAGCAAGACAAAAGTGGCTTAGACAGGTGTAGCATGACCTTCCCTCTGTTGTTTCCCCGTATGTGCTCATAGATGGGGTACGGCAGCCGAGCACTGCAGCTGCTGCAGATGTACTATGAAGGCAGGTTCCCCTGTCTGGAGGAGAAGGTCTTCGAGATGCCACAGGAAATCCACACTGTGAGCAGTGAGGTGAGTGGGCTCTGGCAAAGCCCCAGTCCTGTGTCTGAGAGGCTGGTTCTCGGGGCTCTTCCCACTGTCCGGGCAGCCAGCCGCTTTCTTAAGCCTAGCACTCGTAGAGCGTCTCCGCCTAGACACCAGCAGCATCAGGTGCCGCAGCAGAAACTCTAGGAGAGGAGTGTGGCTTACCAGCCTGAAAGTGTGCTGCATTGCAAGCTCGAGAAACTCTCCAGTGGCCTCTAGGTTGGCATTAATCCACGTGGCAGAGTTCCACTTTGCCTTGCTTAAGGCCGCCTGCACTACTGATTTCCTTCATGTGCATGCGCTCACTGACATTCATAGGGTGTCCACGGCAGAGCTCATGGGCTTTGATTTGATTTTTGGGTGGACTCAGGCAGGTTACTTTCTGAGGTCACAGGGGTGTCAGGTGGCAGAACCTCAGTTTCATGTTACAGTATCAGAACCCCCTACCTCTGTCCCTTCTAAAGTGTATCAGGCAGTGCTAAACTAGTGGCCTTCCCCTGCATTCCAGCTTGGAACTCTGATGGCACACATGCTTAGGTGTGTGATCACTAAACTCTTGGGTCCTGTTTGAAGTCTGTGCTTTTGTTGAGTGGTATACTGGATGCCTTGAGGCCCCCTTAGCTACTCTTGCTTTGCTCAGGGGGTGGCATTGTCTTCCTAGGCTGTCAGCTTATTGGAAGAAGTCATCAGTCCCCGGAAGGATCTGCCTCCTTTACTTCTCAAGTTGAATGAGAGGCCTGCAGAGCACCTGGATTACCTGGGGGTTTCCTATGGGCTGACCCCCAGGCTCCTCAAGTAAGTGCCCGCCTGTTCTCTGGCACCAGCTCACGTGAGTGGGAAGGACAATTCTGTGGGCGGTGTCTCTCTGCAGCTGGGGTCTGTGTCGATTTCTGCTCCTTGTCCTCTTCCTAGCCCTCCCTTATTTCTAAGCTGCTTCCTGGAGGGCGCACTTGGTGATCCCACCCTTCCTTTTCTTGTAGGTTCTGGAAACGAGCTGGATTTGTTCCTGTCTATTTGAGACAGACCCCAGTGAGTGAGGTTTGGGGCAAAGGAGGGGTCGGGTTTGTGTCTGCATCTGGCACAGAGCCTTGCTTCCTCCCTGGCTGTGCCTTGGGCGGGTGTTCCTGTGCTTTTTGCAAGTGGTTACTCTGATGGACAGACAGCTATCCTCTTTCGGAGACAGGTTGTCACAGAGTGATTCCTTCATGACACCTGGCAGGTCTGGTGCATCCTTGGCTTTGTGCTTCATTATAAAGTGGCAGGGTTACACGTGGGCTTGTTTGTCAGATTGTAGACTCAATCCTGCAGACTGCAGTCTCTGTGAATTTGTAAAACAGAACTGGGTTGCGTTGGTTTCTGAAAGAGAGAGATAAATAGCTTGTTATTTAAGATGAGAACAACGGTGAGTTCATGTATATGCTCAGTGCCTACGGAGAAGCAGCCAGTGCATGGGGAAACCAGGAAGCCTGTTTTCTAACAGATAGAAACAGCAGAACACACAGGCACTCCTCGTGGTGGCCTGTGCTGTGAAGACTACAAATGCTGGGGTGGCACAGTGGCCTGGACTGCAGCTTAAACCTGAACCAGATGACTGGAAGGGACCAGAACTGAAGAAGGTGGTTGGGGCTAGAGATAGATGGAGTTTGGGGAGAACTCCATCAGCATTCTCATTCTAAAATGAAAGTTTCAATTGTCCAGTACACCACACATCAAAACATGGGAGAGGTTTCTGGTGGTTTCAAACAGGACTACAGGAGTCTCTGCTCACCCTGAGTGCTCCACACAACTGCAGAGGTTCTTCGGTCTGTCTTGTTCACTCCTGTTCCCCAGCACTTAGACAGCATCTCGCTGCAGCATATACCTGGTCAGTGGGTGCACACGTAGAAGCTACTGAAATAACGTAAAGTAAGAAGACAGCAACCACAGGATTTGCCAACACTGGTGTTCTGAACAGAGTAGGGCTTTGTACCCAGTTGGAAGTATTAGGAGGTGAGGATACAGACATGAATAGATATCTTTCCCAAAGTGTAAGGGAGCAAGAGAGCTGTGTGGGGGCTGTGCATGGGGGATCGCCGGGGGGGTGGGGGGAGCTCATTGTCGTGTGGAAGATTCGTGACGTGTTTGTTCATTGTGGAGATTATTTACAGGGAGTGCAGGCAGAGAGGGCTGACCTGTGGGGGTGCAGGCCTTGTGAAGGCCAGGAGGCTGAAACCCAAGACTTGGCTCACTAGCACTTCATCCCTCTTAACAGGAGGGTAGCAGTGGGTGCGATTCAGCAACTGAGATAGTGAAGATGTCTGGCTGCTTCTGTTTTCGAGGCCCACAGTGCTGAAGGGGGTGGGGGCTGTGACGCTGGAGAATGTAAAGCTGGTGTCCGAGTTTGGTGGTGAGTGTCCTTGTGAAGTCTGAAGTGAGACTGCTGGAGACCTGAGTGCTGGCAGGCGGGGGCCAGCAGATAGGCTGGCACCTGTCAGCATGCTTGTCCGGACAGGGATGGAAAGTCGGCAGTGTGTGCAGGGGGGATGTACCTCTCTGAGCCACAGATAGGCCGTAGGGTGTCTTGTGTTCTTGTCCCTTGAGTGCTCGATCTGACTTGCTGCCATTTCCTTCTGTCAGTGTTATCAGCTGAAAGCCATTAGGTGCAGTCCTGAGACCTTTGTTATCTAGTAAAAAGTCCAAAATTCCGTGGCCTTTTGCCATTTCAACGTGCTGAAGCATGCGGCATCAAGAGTTTGAGGCCTGGGTGAGATTGCGAGAATGTCACACAAACTCTGTATAGGCATACTGGCTGCTACCTGGGAGTCTCTGGTCCGCTGGGCAGTTTCTGCTTTATAAGCACCAAAAATGCACTGATGGCCCCGAGTCCAGAGTCCTCCTGAAAGGAGTGGGTGCAGAGCAGAAGTCAGGCCCTACCTGAAGACCTGGTGGTGGCCTACCGTGTGAGCCCTCGAAGCGCGTGTGTGAACTGAGGCCATGTGGGCAGTGTGGGAGCACCACGCCCTTCTCTGCACTTGCCCTTCCTGCCAGTGGGAAGCTCTGAGAAGGAGGTTGGTGGTGCCAGGCAGGAATGTGTGTTCCCTAGAACGACCTGACTGGAGAGCACTCGTGCATCATGCTGAAGACCCTGGCTGATGAGGACGAGGCTGAGCGGGGAGCTTGGCTCGCCGCATTTTGGAAAGGTGAGCGCCAGTGGAGTGGAGGGGGAGGGGAGGTGGCAGACGAGGGCACCTCCAGACTGCTAACTGCCTGGCTGTGTCCTGCAGATTTCCGGAGACGGTTCCTGGCCTTGCTCTCTTACCAGTTCAGCACCTTCTCTCCTGCCCTGTCTCTGAACATCATTCAGAACAAGAACATAGCGAAGCCAGCCCAGCCAGGTGAGCTGTCACCCCGGGAGCTATGGGCGGCTCTAGTCCTCAGCCCCTCCATGCGGCCTCCTGTTGCCTCCTGTTGCCCAAGCCTATCCGCTGCCCAGGCTGAGTGGCTATCGGGTGTAAGAGAAGTTCATACAGTGGGTAGCTTTGAAACCTGCTAGGAGAGCGAGCTCAGTGTCTGGGGCTCTGTTAACTAGTTGTGAAACTGCATCAAGCATGCATCTGTGGCCGGTGTGTAGAAGAGCTAAATCTGTTGTTTAGTTGGATGAACATTTAAAAATCGTGTAAGAGGTCATTAGCAGTCACTTTCTACACGTTTTTAGCTGTGTGTGTATCTGTGTGTGTGCACATGTTACTATGTATCCGTTTACTTACCTCTTGCTGATTTTATTTTGATGGGAAAATCTGGGTTCTTTTGAGCTGGGCAGAGCACACACTTCTGTGAGGTGGATCTGGAGGAAGAGTGACAAATGGGGAAAGGGGGAGGCGTGTCCTTGTAGTGCTGGGACACCAGGGTTTTTCTTTGGCCCAGCATGTTGGTGGCTGTCTGCACTGCCAGCTCAGGATTGTGTTATCCGTGGCAAGGTATTTTAGCACATTTTTAGAGACTTATGTGTAGACTTGCCTGCGTGTGTGCATGTGTGCCACATGTGTGCCTGGTGCCTGTGGAGGTCGGAGGGCGTCTTAACTCCTGGAACTGGAGTTACGGTTGGTTGTGAATTATCATGTAGGTGCTACCCGTCCAGCCCCTTCCTGGATGGTTTCCTGTGAGGGCTTCACACTGCCCTGACCCGTGTGGCTCTTGTTGCCCGTGCAGCCCTAGGCCGGGAGCATCTGGAGGCGCTTTTTCTCCCCTATGACCTGAAGCGGCTGGAGATGTACTCTCGGAACATGGTTGATTATCATCTCATCATGGACCTCATCCCAGCCATTTCCCGCCTGTACTTCCTGAACCAGCTGGGGGACTTGGCGCTGTCGGCTGCCCAGTCGGTAGGTCATCTGGAACTCCATGGGGGCGAAGGGAGGGCTGGTGCTGGGCTCTTAGTCAAGTGCTTAGAAGTAGCTCTGTGTCCTTAGCCCAGCAGAGCTGCTGGTCCATTCTCACGCTGCAGGCCGAGGTGAGTGACGTAGCTGTGCTGTTAGCAAGCAGACTGCTTCAGTGGGCGCCCACATACCTCCCCAACCTCTCTGCCTTAGCAGAAGTCCAGGCTACCCTGCACTCGGGTGTGGTTGTGAAGTGGGTGCTGGTTGGGACAGTGTGAGCTAGAGTGCATTTCAGAAAAGAGTGGTTCTGGTGCCTGAGTAATTTGGTGGAAGAGAAGATACCAAATAAACACTGCTGCTCTGTGATTGCTGCCAGAAAGCTTCGTCAAAAGAGGCAGTCCCATTCTCAGGGCTACCTTAATGGGCCAGGGCTGTCTTCGAAGCCACTCCACTTGATTTTCCTTCCTCCAGGCTCTTCTCTTGGGAATTGGTCTGCAGCACAAGTCTGTGGATCAGCTGGAAAAGGAGATCGAGCTACCCTCAGGCCAGCTGATGGGGCTTTTCAACCGGATCATCCGAAAAGTTGTGAAGGTAACCTTTGTCCAGGAGCAGGATTTTGGTCTATTTCTAGTAACAACACACCTGCTCTTTGTTTATAACAAGTACTAAAACTTAGATGTATTTGCTGCAAACACACACACACACACACACACACACACACACACACACACACACACA